GCTTTCTGAAGGCATACAAGTTTGGTGAACTTAGTCAGGGGCTCACAGTGAGCCAGTGTCAGCATCAGGATTTGAATTCAAGCCTTCTCAACTCCAAATCTAGCATTCAAGGACTATACCTCTGTCATAACCTGTGATAGATAGAACTTGGTCTATCTCAAATGTCTCCTCTCAACTGCAACCACTTGTCCACAACCAAAGGGAATGCCACTGGGGGATAGTGGCTCTATGCAAGATCAGAGAGTCATAGCTTATCATTGCCCTAATTTTACTGATGAGGAAATCAAGACCAGAGAAATTGTCATTTTTCTAAGGTTACCCAGGTAGGAAATGGCACAGCTGAGATTTGAACCCAGTTCCTCTCACTCCAGATGGAAGGAAGGAAGGAAGGAAGGAAGGAAGGAAGGAAGGAAGGAAGGAAGAAGGGAAGAAAGGAAGGAAGGAAGGAGGGAAGGAAGGAGGGAAGGAAGGAGGGAAGGAAGGAGGGAAGGAAGGAGGAAGGAAGGAGGGAAGGAACGAAGAAGGAAGGAAGGAAGGAAGGAAGGAAGGAAGGAAGGAAGGAAGGAAGGAAGGAAGGGGAAGGAAGGAAGGAAGGAAGGAAGGAAGGAAGGAAGGAAGGAAGGAAGGAAGGAAGAAGGAAGGAAGGAAGGGGAAGAAGGAAGGAAGGAAGGAAGGAAGGAAGGAAGGAAGGAAGGAAGGAAGGAAGGAAGGAAGGAAGGAAGATTTAGAGTTAGAAGGGATCTTGGATCATGTTGTCCAATTGCCTCATTTTATAGAAAACCAAAATGAGACCTAGAGAGGTGAACTCACTTCCCAGGTTATAAGTATGGTAACAGAACTAGGTTTGAACCCAGGTTCCTTTTCTACAAATCCAGTTGTTGATAAACTTTGTTGATAAATTCTGCTAGCATATAATAAGAACATAATTAGAAATGAAATCTGATTTATTTAGTGTGACTCCCCCTTTCTTTGGACCAGAGTCCTTGTGTCTAACTACACATTTGAAATAAATAAGGCTATGCAATGTATTTTGCAGGGGAGGCAAGGAGGGGAAGCAGGGAACAGGGTGCACAGGAGGAAAGAAATTTCTTTTGTTGTGGTTGTTGTTAAGAGGAAAGGGAACGGGTGCTCACAGGGGTCACCAACTTTGGAAAGTCTCCCAGTCTTTTTTAAGACTTGAGTGGGGAGGGTGAAATGGTTTTTTCAAGAGTATTTGGGATCCTGACCCTACAGGCAACTCAAAAAGCAGCAGCAGAATCCCTTCAAGATTGGAATGATGTTTTGGAGCCCCACACCAGAGGACTCTTTGACCCATTCCTACCAGTCCTCTTTCCAAGGGTTACTTTGCCCCCTCTCATGGACTTCATTCACTTCAACTTATCCAGGTCACAGATGAGCCATCCAGGCAACCACTCTGCAGGAGGGAGGATCACAGCATCCCAGAACCAGAAGTTGGTCCAACCCATCCCTACAAAAGGAACCCCTCTACAACCCGCCAGACCAATAATCATTCATCTGCTGCTCAAAGACCTCCAATGAGGAGAAATCCACAACTGCCCACACATTCTACTTTTGAACAGATCTAACTATTAGAAAGTTTTTCCTCACTTCAAGCCTAAATTTCCCTCCTAAATTACTCCTGGTTTTACCCTCTGGGATCAAGAAGAAACAAATTCATCCCTCTTGCATATGGCTGCCCATGAAACGCTCAAAGGTCACTATATTGTCCTCTTTATCCTCACCATAGGTTTTTTCTTTGCCAGACTCATCATCACCAGTTTATTCATATAATCCTCATATGACATAGTCCCCAGTTTTCTTATCACCTTAGTTCCACTTCTCTGGTCACTCTCTAGTTTGTTAATATCCTTCCTAAAATGTCATACCCAGATCTCTTTTAAGTGACCAGAGATCTCATCTATTAGTTGGTCAGTCAACAAACAATTATGAATCACCTACTATGAGTCAGGCACTGTGCTAAGCACTGGAGGCTCAAAGAAAGGCAAAAGACAGTCTCTGCCCATGAAGAATAAGGGTGACAACATACAGACAACAGTGCACAAACAAGATACACATAGGAGGAATTGGAAATAGTCAACAGAGAGAAGGCACCAGCTGGGAGAATCTGGAACAGCTTCTTGTGGAAGAAGAGATTTCAGCTGGGACTTGAAGGAAACCAGAGAAACCTGGAGGCAGAGATGAAGAGGGAGAGAATTAGGGCCTGTACCCAACCAAGACTTAATATAATCCAGAGAATTTAAAATGGAAAGAACACTGGCTCTGGGCTCAGAGGACTTTGGTTTAAATATTGCCTCTGTCGCTTAGCTAACTATGAGACAACCACCCTGGGCCTCAGTTTCCTTATTTGTCAAAATGAAATCTGTAAATGCCTTGAAATTCGAAGTCTTGGAGAGGTACCTGGAACACTAAGAGATGAAATGACTTGCCAAGGGTCACGTAGCTTGTGACCTGAACCAAGGTAGGCTTGACTCCAAAGTTCTCTGTGCACTACTCAGAACTGTCTCTTCCCCATTGTTATCACAAATGAAATCCCTTAGACAATTGTGAGAGATGTGCTTGGTTGAAAGAAAGGAGTACAAAAGAAAACCCAGAGCAAGACATAAAAAGCACTCTGTTCCAGTGTGAAACAGGGAAGAAACAGATGGTAACAATCAAAAAATAGACCAATGCCTGCAACCAGTAGAGGTTTGCAAACCAGTATGCAAATCTAGAGGTAATCAATGAGGGTGGGTCACTGCAAAGCCTGTCAGGACTAACAACATTTCTAGAGTCTTTGGACCTCCTCCCTCCTCACATCCTTACATCTGGATCCAAGAAGCCCTGCTCCCAACCCCAAAACTCCTCTCACCCTCAATTCCAAAATTTGTTGTGGAATTCCGACTCTCCCAGTCTTCCATCTCATGCCCCATCCTTGGACTCTTGCGGCAGGACACAGAAACCACTATTGTTGTTGTTTGTCCTTCTTACTGGAAGAGGATAAATGACATCTAGATGTTGGGGGCAAGGTACAGTGTGTTGGGTTGTGACTCCTCAGTCCAATATGAGCTTGGAAGGATCTACTAAAGGTCAGGCACAAATGGTCCATTTGGACACTTAGGATGGAGATAGATTTGTGCCTCATCGCCTGTTCCTTTTGGGCTTCGGCAATTCTCCTTCACTCAGGGAGCACAATGCTTTCTTTGATGCGGGCATGCCATGCTGGGAAGTTCTGTGCCAGTGTCTCCTGTGTCTCACAATCAATACTAAAGTTCTTCAGAGAGACCAGCAACCATTTCCAATGACCTGGAACTGGGAGAAATTCCTGTTCCCAAGGGGTAAGTGGAGAGAGAAAGATGGTGGCCTCAAAATGCCTGCAAGGCCACAAGGGACTATTCCTGGAACCCTAAAGTAGGATTCAGAATACATTGTTTTATGTTATGCTTACACTCCATCATGGTGGTGTTCGTATAAGCCTATACTTCCAGTACATCCTGAGTTAATAGGCATTTGTGGACTTGGCTGGGAATGAAAACACCATGCATAGCGTTGTTGGCAGAGAGGGGGGCAGGAGTTCTAAACAGCTGACTTAGAAATGAGCTTATGAAACAAAATTCATTTTAAAGTTGGAGATTGAGACTGCTATTGTTCTTCCCATAGATACTTTAAATAGGCTTTTATTATTATCTTGTTTTTACATAACCTGTATATGTCCCTATATCCCTCCTGCATCTCTCTCCCACAGAGTCATCCTTTAGAACAAAGAATTTTTAAGAAGAAAAAGTGAAAGAGAAAAAAAACAGTCAGCAAAACTGATAAATATATTCAGAAAAAAATTGCAGTATTCCACACCCATGACCCTAAGCTTTGCAAAGGAGGGAGGTGTGTTGCCTTCTCATATCTCTTCTTTGGAGCCAAGCCTGTTCCTTGTCACTTACATTGCTTTGTGGTTGGCTTTTTCCGTTTCCATTGTGGTCAGCATCTTGTAGATTGTCTCCCTAGCCCAGCTTACTTCACTTTATTGTTTCATCTAGGTCTTCCCATGCTTCTCTGTACTCATCACGTTTATTATTTTTTATAACATAGTAATTTTTAAAAATAAAATTTAATTATTTTCTTCTTGTTTTTACATTGACTAAACTTTCTTCCACCCCAACTACCCACATGACAATTTTCTTAAGATTAAAAAAAAAAAATCAGCAATACTGATTAATACATTGAAAAAAATCTAAAAACAAATGCAATATTTCCCACCTGTTGATCTCCCACCTCTGCAAAGCAGGTCGGGAAGTGGGGGAGAGATCTTCTCACATATTATCAATAGGTCCATGTTTATTCTTTGTAATTTTGCAACATTCACTTTTGGTTGTTTTCTGATCATTGTTCTTTCCATTTCCATGATTGTAATTATTGGGTGTATTGTTTTCTTGGTTCTACTTCACTCTGCATCAACTCATGTAAGTCTTTCTATGGTTCTCTGTATTCATCATAGCTACCATTTCTTACAGCACAGTACTATTTCATTACATTCATGTGCCACAATTCGTGTAGCCATTCCCCAGTCAGTGGACATCTGCTCTTATTTAAATGCTTTGCTACCACAAAAAGGGCTGTTATGAATATTGTGGTTACACCTAGGGCAGCTGGGTGGCTCAGTGAATAGAGTGCCAGACCTGGAGACAGGAAGACCTGAGTTCAAATCCAGCCTCAGATGCTTACTAGTTATGTGACCCTGAGCAAGTCATTTAACTCTTTTTTGCCTCAGTTTCCTGATCTGTAAAAAGAGCTGGAGGAGGAAATAGTAAACCACTATAGCATCTTTGCCAAGAAAACCCCCAATGGAGTCATAAAGATTCAGACATGACTGAAACTGAACAACAATAAAAGATTAGGTTTTTTTGTTTTTGTTTTTGTTTTTTTAATGGAGTTTTTCTTTTTGTCAATGACCTTCTTGGGGTATATGCCTCACAGAGGGATGTCTGGGCCAAAAAGAAAACAGGTGATATTTTAATTGTTTTTAATTGTTAGAGAAAAACAGCTCAGAAGATCCGTCAAATAGTTTCTATTCTTATAGAATGACTTGAGAAGAAAGTGAAAGCTCTGGACCGTACATGAAGTGCTATCGTGGGAATTCTCTTGTTCTGCTCGATCCTAGAGAAAAGAACCAAAAACAGAGTCAGAGAAGCAGAGAGGTAGATGTAGGATTAACATAGAGGGAAATGTCCTAACGACTGGAGCTTTCCCCCACACCAAAAAAAAAATGGGCTTTCTCAGGACATAGCGGACTCCCTCCCACTGAGTGTTTTTGAGAAAAGGCTGGTAGATCATTTATGCATATTTCAGAGAGGTGGTTTCATTCTCAGATAGATGATGGACTTAATGACCTCTGAAATCCCTCCCATCTAGGAGAGTTTGTGATTCATTGAGGAGGAAACCCTGCCTTCCCGACTGGATACATTTTATCTATGTATTCCCGGCACCAAGTACAATGCCTGCCACATAGTAGGGGCCTAATAAGTATTTGTGGAGTGATCAGCATTACAGTCAAACTGGTCTACTTGCATTCCATTACACAACTTTCCAACTGCTGTTGAATGTGCTTTTGCCCCCTCTATTTGGAATGCTCCCCCTTCTCATCTTTCTTAGGACCCCTAACTTCCTTTAAGCCTAACTAAAAAGCCGTCAGGTTAACCTCATCCCCCTAATTGCTAAATCTTCTGCCTGCAGAAATTATTTTATGTATGTACAAACGTGTGTGTGTGTGTATATATATATATATATATATATGTGTGTGTATATGTGTGTGTGTGTGTGTGTGTGTGTATATATATATATATATATATATATATACACATATATGAATTATGTATTCAATGAGCATTTACTTATTGGTATACAGGCAACTTCCTGCCCTCCCCACCCCTTACCTTGATAAACGCAGTGTCTTTGAGGACATAGGCTGTTCTATTTTTGCCTTTCTATCTCTGGCACTTAACACAGTGCCTGACACATAGTAGGTACTTGTTTCTTGAATGGATGAGTGAATGAACAAATGAATGAATGAATGAATGGATGGGTGAATGAATGAAGTTATACTTGTATATGGCTCCTTAATAAGTGTAGAATCCTTCACCTCCTGCTCTTGTGAGCAAATCATCCTATCCTGGTCTTTCTTTCCAGTTAAAGGTCATCCACATTTGGGATAAATTGATCCTCAAATTTCATGTCTGCAAGCAAAGCTTGTCAGGAAGGGACCTTCATTCCTGTTACCAGACACAAGGAGCCAACTTCTGGACTTGTTCCAAATCCTGCATTCCTTCATATTTTAAGTTTAGGCATTTTGAAGTAAACCAGGCTATGGGGCCCAACAAGAGCCTTTTTAATTATGGGTGGGGCATGTCTGTCATTTCTAAGCCATTAAATGAAGACTTTTGCAGTCTAACTTTTTTTTTTGGGGGGGGGAGTAGCTTCTTCTCCAGAGGGAAAGTTTGTAACGATGGCAAAATGGGAAGTTGTATTTAAAAAGAAAAAAAAAAAGACAGCCAGAGCTCACTCCAGAGGCAGAGTTGCATGGCTCCAATCATAGCATACAGGCAAATACAGTCATAAGGCCAGTGACCCCAAGCTGACAAGAACCAGAGTCTCAGAGGAGTCATAAAGGTCGTTCCCTATTTCTGAAGCCAGGGTGGCTTAAGTCATTGGGATTTGCAGCACAATCTCATAAGCAGTTTGCTCCCCTGTCATACTAGCTCTCTAATGAGCTGGAGCGTTAGCACAATTTCTGGTTGGGCTGAATTTACTTCTGTGGGGCAAAAAGCAGTAATCTGATTTTGCATCTTTTGCATGTAGTTCACAGTAACATGAAATTCCAAAGGGTTTAAAAAAAAAGGCTTAGTGATTTAAATCACAGGATCAGGATCATACACTGAAAGATCACTGATGATGAAACTGAGGCCTAGAGAGGTGGGCAAAGTTACTTGTTCGAAGTCACCCAGGTAGTAAATGACAGAGCCAAGATTTTAACCCAGATCTCTTCTGACACTAAATTCCCTAGTCTTTCCATGGTATTACACTGGTCTAAAGACTACTAACTTTTTTGGTGATGCAGTTTCAAGAGTCTTTTTCTAAGGAACCATTACTTCTTTTTTTATGGTGCTACCCTTTCTTGTTTTTATGTCCTCTTGGAAATTTGGACTTCGCTTTATTTTTTATGATTTTGCCCTTTCTGATTTGGCAAGCTAGCACTGGATACGTCTTTCCTCCCCACCCCCTTTCCCCCTCCTTTCTCAATCTTACACTTTGGATTGAGTTGAAAGAAGTATGGTTCCTTTTCTTCAGCAGCGGCAACAATGGTTTAATTTATGTCGACTTGGATCTTGCCAAGTCATCTTGGTTTTGTGCACCGTCCTCAGCACCGATGATAGCTGAGCTCAGTACGGTACTTGTTAGCTGCTGGGGCTGACTCAACAGATGGAGCCCCAAACAGTGTTTACATAAGTTCTGTAAAAATAGTGGTTTTTAAAGCACTTTTGGCAATTTTATGGTAGATTGGGGGGGAAAAATCCCACTTATCATTTAGATTAGTTTTTCCCATAAGATTCTGAAAATGTTAAGGCAAATCAAATTTCAGGCCAAAAAAGGAACTGCCACAGCTTAGATTTGACTTAAAGGATTGTAGATGAGTTAGATTTGGAAGAGAACTTAGAGGTGATCTAGTCTAAGCCCTTTGTTTTACAGATAAGAAAACTAAGATTTATGGAGGCAAAGTGACCTGCTCAAGGTCACGCAGAAAATGGGGACAGATCAGGGATGCCAACCAAAGACTTCTAACTCTAATTACAATGTTCTTCTGTGTGGCTCCTTGGTTTCCTTCAAGTACAACTCACCTACCACTTCTTACACAAGGCCTTCCCTAAACTTTATCATTATTTGAGAGCTAGGAGGGCTCTGAGAGGTGGGCTAATTAAACCCTCTCCTTTTACAGATGATGAAACTGAGGTTTAAAGTGATTAAATAATTTGCCCAAGTTCACACAAGTATTCGGTGGCAAGGTTGGGATTCGTTGCATCCTAGTACTGTAGTTTTAGAACTAGAAGCAGTCTTAGAAGCCATCAGGTCCAACCTTCCTATTTCACAAAATGAGGAAAGTGAGGTCCAAAGTTTCAGTGATTTGCCCAGGGTCACAAAGCTAGTAGATGTGTGAGGAAGGATTTCAACTTGGGTCTTCCTCAATGACACCACATTGCTTCTGGTGCATTGGGTTGTCCAAAGTAGGAATAGACTTCCACATAAGGCCATGAGCTCCTCATCAATAGGATATTCAATGTTCAATCAGAAAACAAATGACTACTTGTAAAAATGTTATAGAATTGATTCATGTATCCAGCCAAGGTGACTTCTATGGACCTTTTCAGCTCTGAGAATCTATGCAACCAATGAGGTTATAAAGTGATCAATAATTTCCTGGATACATACAAAAAATAAACAATATGAGATATTGGTTTGGCCAGATAACCACTAGCCTATATTTCCACAAGGCTTTAAGATGTACAACATTCTTTCTTTACAACAGCTTTGTGAGAAAGCAAAGACAATTATTATTACCCCATTTCAAAGATGGAGGGAGAGGCTCAACAACATTGTTACTTTTCCCATAGTCACACAGAGCTGTGAAGCATCAAAGCCAGGATTCAAAAGCTGATGTCTTATTCACAATAAAAAGTCACGCAGACCCTCCCTTTGAGATAAATACTCCTCAGCAGAATGTGAGGTCCTTGAGGACAGAGGCCTGTTGTCTTTGGGGCTCCCAGACTAGGACAGTACCCGTCACACAGAGGCAATTAGTAAATATTTGTTAAATTGAACTGAAATAAGAATGACTACCCCCCCCATTAAAATCTAGCAAGTAACTAAGAGGTTTTGTTAAGACTCTCCAAATATGTCCAAGCAATGGCTTAAGAATTCCCTTCTCGCTCTCAAATCCAATGTTCCTTGTATTATCTTCTGAGTGAGCCAGCTCTTCATGTAGGCGGTGTTCACTGGTGGCATTTAAAAATGATTAAGAGCACCAGAGACAATTTTGCATGTGTTTTAAAGGGCTTTCAGAAAGCTACCAAGTGGGTATTTTATAGAGCTAGAGAAAATGATAATAAAGGCTTTCCTTTACTACCCCCACTTCATTCATTCGTGTTCTTTGACGATGACTACACAGGTCACATTCTGAGCACAGTTCGGCTTCATCTTCCAGACATCACCATGTGTGGGGTCATAAGTAAGTTGTAATACAGCTACATTGCTTATTAGTGCCAATAACCAAATTACTACACAGAAGTGAATACATTTGATTCCTCAAGATTATAACATATGAAAGTGAACTGAAGGACCTGGGGGTAGTTATACTTCAGAGAGGTGAAGGTCAAATGCACAGAGAACAGATGGTATCTATTCTCTTCCTGAAGATAGCCAGGGTTAGAATCCCCCCGGTCTCCCTTCACTGAGCATTTCTGTGTTTGATGACCCCCGTATTTTTTTTAAACTTTCATAATATTTCACATGCTTCCTTTCTGTCCTCTGACACTGCCATCCTCTGGTACAGACCCTTATCACCTCACTCCTAGACCAGCAGCTGCTTTATGGTCTCCTTGCTTCAAATCTGTCCACACTCTAGTCATCCTCTCCTCAACTGTCCCCAAGAAACTGTAGCACACACAGCAACCACACTTCACGGTGAACCCTATCAGCAAACGAGCTAAGCCAGGTTGAGGTTGTCCGACAGGCCACAAACCCATCAGTGATTTAGAGGGATGCCTACCCCAAGCAAGCAAATACTTTCCCTGGTGGAATGAGTGGATGAGAACAATTTGTTCCAACAGCCATGAAGGCGTCTGAAGCAGGCACTGTGGAGCGCTTAAAGCTGGGTCAAACATCTAAGATGCCAGGGTCATCCACCACATCCTGGGCCATTGCCAGTCATTTTGATTTTTGTCCTGCCGCTGGACTTCTATGACTCAGGAGAAGAGAGAGAGACTGATGACTTTTAACTGCCTCACGGAAATCCAGTTCCCCCACAAGCCAGGACATCCCCCTATGATGTCATTGGTCCTCTTTGAAAATGAAGGACAAACAACAACAACAATTCTGTCATCAGACTGACCTCCCTAAAGCGCAGGTCAGGCCATGTGATGACCCCCTACTTACCGAAGTGTTGTACACAATTGAATCAATTCCCCTACACAATGGAATACATTCCAATGGCTCCCTGTCACCTCCAGCATCAAGTGTTAAACCCTGGTTGGCATTCAAAGCCTCTCAGGACCTAGCACTAGAAAGGTAGGAACCTTTCTAGTCTTCTCACACCTTACTCATCCCTACTCGCCCTGCAATCTGGTGACATTATCCTCCTTGTTATCTCCCTAACAAGAGCAGCTCCAGGCGTTATCACCGGTTGTCCCTCATGCCTGGAATGCTTTCTCTTTACATTTCTACTTCCTCTTTTCCCTCAAGTTCCAACTAAAACCATCTCCTGCACAGGAAGCCTTTCCCATCCCTTCCTATTCTGTCGTTGATTCATCCTGCGCATGGCCTGTTTGTAAACAAGGCAACCACCTCCTCTCCCTAGAAGGTCATTCTGTATTTGAATTTCTATCTCTTAGCACAGTACCTTAAGCACTCAATCAATGCTCGTTGATTGGCCTGTAGACTTGATTGATCTCTTTAACTCATTGTTTATATTATGTTCCAGTCTGTTTATACCCAGCTTGACTCCATTTTATTATAATTCCCAATTCTTCTCATTCTGTATTGTTTCATGACTCTGCAGCCACAGAAAGTCACTGGTAACACATTGGTGTTAAAAACAAGAGGCCTTTGTTTTCAGGGAGAAGTTTGGGGTCATTAAAAGAACTTTTCAATTTCCCAATGGTAATCCAACTCCTTCTCTAGATGGCCTCCAAGGTCCCTCTGAGCTCTAAATCTGTGACCCCATGATCCTCTTATTCAATTCTAGGCCCTAGTCACAAAGTAATGGGATATTTACTGCTTCCTGAAGCAGCCTAGTCCGTTTCTGGACGTCTCCACACTCAAACATTTGAGTATTTTGGCCATGGTGACCCTCAGTCATCAAAAGGATAGCAAACAAAGAAATAGAGTTCACTGGTTGTCTGGAAACTTCGCTTTCAAAACAATGAACCTTGAGAATACAGAATTGAGAACCGGGTCTGACCAGATCTATTAAGTGGGACAGAGGAAGAACCTGGAGACCAAGGGAGAGAAGGAAAGACACTTCTACAACTGTGGGAAGGTAATTTTAAGAGCACTCAAAGTGGAGGATTTTGATACCCCTCTCAAGATAAGATTGTCCAATAACTCCACCCTTGATTCAAGCTGAATTTCTCCCTCCATGCAAGAAAACCCAAGATTTCTCCTGGTCACCTAGGCACCTGTTTCCCTCTCTTGGTCTATACTCAGTCTCATTCTCTTTAGCTCTGACTGCCCTATACCTAACACCCAGTTGTCTGGGCTCCCATTGACTGGAGCCCTGTTTCCCATCCCCCCCACCCCGCAGCTGGGACCTGGAGTCATTCAGTCTCAGGGTAGGGGCCAGAGGCATTTCTTACATACTCATTTTCAATCAACTCTTAACAATTAGCTCTAGCTATTAACATATATAAACACAATCATTTAGTGAGGAGTACAGAAAGCAGCAGAATTCGAGGGGCTTTCATCACAAGAGTAATCAAGTTACCTTTCTCTTACTCTGTAGGCTAAACAACTGGAATCCTTACCTTTTCCTTCAGAGCCTCTTTTCAATCCCTAAATGCATCTGGTTCATGCTTCTCTGAACCTCCAGGTCTTCACGATCTTTATACAATAGAGTCTCTGAAATGTACCCAATTGCGTAAAGAGAAACTGCCTTATAGAGAGGTGTTGATGAATTCCTGAAAATTAAAAAAAAGTAAATATATATGTATGTGTGTGTGTGTGTGTGTGTGTGTGTGTGTGTGTGTGTGATTTCCAAACCCTACATTGACCACAGCATCATTGGATCTCAGAATTAAAAGGAACTTTAGAGCTTATCTAGTACAGAGCTTCTTAACCTGGGATTCACATACATATTTTCATTATTTAATATTTTGTTGACTGTTTCAATATATTTGATTTCCCTTGTAATCTTATACACTTTATTTTGTGCATTTAAAAACATGATTCTGGGAAGAGATCCACTGGTTTCACTAAATTGACAAAAGGGTCCAGGACACAAAAAAATATTAAGAATTCCTCCAGGAGTGTACTATAGCCTGCTGGTAAGAGCCACTTGTTAAGAAACCAGCAAACACTACAAATCATAGCCTGATGCACAGTATTTTTTTTTAATTTGGCTGTTAAAACATTTATTAGCATAATACTATTTGTTGTTGTTCAGTCATTTCCAGTTTTGTCCAACTATTTGTGACCCCATATGGGGTTTTCTTGGCAAAGATACTGGAGTGGTTTACCATTTATCTTCTCTAGCTCATTTTACAGATGAGGAGACTGAGGTGAACAGGGTTAAGTGACTTGCCCAGGGTCACACAAGTAGTAAGGGTCCGAGGCTGGTCTCAGGTCTGAGACCTGAGTTCGAATCCTGCCTCAAGCATCTACAACAGATGTGACTCTGGGCAAGTCACTTAACTACACTCAGCTTCAGTCTTCTCATCTGGAAAATGAGGCAGGTTGGACTCTGGTTTCCAAAGTCCCTTCTGGCTTTGCGTCTATGAACCTGTGACCCAAACCCACTTCTGGCCACAGAGCACACTTCCTATGACCACAAGAGCCATGGAAGATTTGAATCTATTGATGACTGTGCCTGATTTGGTTAATAGGAGAAAGGACGGATGAGAAATTTGTAGCTTAGAACAAAGAAAAGTACATACTGACCTGGTGCTTAGGGAACCTCTCTAGAATGAGTGAATAGCTACAGCTCACACCCTAAGAACTGCTGCTCTTGCTGACATACAGTGATGTAACCTGGGAAAGGTTTCAAACAACAGGATTCTCCAGGCTTCACCTCCTTGGAAGCAGCCTTGCTCTTGTCCCCTCCCTGCACTGACCACCCATTGGAGTGTGATGGAGGAAGGAACTGTCTTATCCACTTGTGTTTGTACTCCTAGCATTTAATATAGTGCCTGGCATATAGTAAGGGCTTAATAAATGCTTTCTCTATATATCAATCTATCCATCTATCTATCTATCTATCTACCTATCTATCTATCTATCTATCCATCTGTCTGCCTGCCTAGCTATCTGACTTTCTATCTACCTATCTATGTGTCTATCTCTATATAGCTATCTCTCTATATGCTTATCTATCTGTCTTATATCTATCTAGCTGGCTAGCTCTCTACCTAGCTATCTAACTTACCTGTCTGTTTATATCTAGCTAGCCAGTTAGGTGGTGCATTGAAAAGAACATTGGGCCTGGATTCAGGAAGACTTGAATTCAAATCTGGCTTTGGATACTTATTAGCTGTGTGACTCTGGACAAATCACTTAACCTGTTTGTTTCAGTTTCCTCATCTATAAAATGAGGGTAATAATGGTACCTACTTTCCAGTGTTGTTGTGAGGTTTCAAATGTGATAATGACTGTAAAACACTTAGCACAATTGCTGGCACATAGTAAAGATTATATAAATGTTAGGTTTCATCATCATCATTATTATTATCATCTATATATGTATGTGTCTGTCTAGCCATCTGTCTATCTGTCTGTCTGTCTGTCTGTCTATTTGTCTGTCTGACTTTCTGTCTATAATGATGTCTATCTATGCATCTGTCTTTATATAGCTGTCTGTCTGTCTGCATCCATCTAGCTGTCTACATCCACTCTCTGTCTCTGTGTGTCTGTCTCTGTCTCTCTCTCTCTCTGCCTCTGGGTGTCTCTCTGTCTTTCTTTTTCTCTCTGTCTCTGTCTCTGTCTCTCTGTCTATCTGTCTGTCTCTCTCTCTCATTGCCTACTAGAGCTGTCTCTGCCTTGGGTGTGGGGTATTGTCAGCCAACCCCGGCTTCTCAAAATCACTCACTTTCTTAAGAGGCATTTTTTGATCTGAAATCTCTCAGGATCCCCCAGCTGCTAGCATTCTTCCTCTTTTAACTACGTGGTATTTACTTCTTTATTTATTCTGCAGAGAAGCAGCACGATGTACTATAGGAAGCTGTCCTCAGAGTCAGGAAGACCTGAGTTCAAATGTCACTTTAGACATATATTGGCTGTATGACCCTAAACAAGTCCCTTAACTTCTCAGGGTCCTAGTCCCCCTTTTAACTCTATAAGTTGCAGAGAAAGTGCTGGTCTGCAATGTTTAGAGGGAGTTTCTTTAGTTTCCTCTTTTGGAAACTCCTTATGCTAGTAAAATCCCAGTTCTTGTCCCCAACCCTTCCACTCCCTCACCCCACCCCCCTGATAAGCTCAATGAGAGCAGGGACTATTTCTTCTTTCTATGTCTGTATCTCCAACATCTAGCCCAGTGCTTAACCCACGTGGATGCTTACTTAACGAGTGTTTGTTGATTGATTGATTGCCGCACCACCAACTGAGTCCTGCAATTTCTTTAGATGATAATAAGTACTTTGAATCACTAGAAAGTTGAATCATCCTTGCAGAGACAGAACTAGTGATTCTGGCTTCTGGAACAGCAGCATGCCCGGAGCAAACAGCACAAAGCCAACCAGAAAATTAACCTTGCAATCCATAATGTGAAAATAATGTGAAATAAGTCAAACAAATTTCGATAGTAACTATACATGGAGCTACTAATAGTAGGTAAGTCTTTTGGGACTCCATAGGTAGTTTCTATAGAAATGTGTCTTACTTATTTCATATTATTAGCTTTAATAGCTATTAATGGCTTAAGTATTATATTATTAGAATATTATCATTTTTCATATTATTAGGTACTAAGCTATTAATAACAAAAATGCACTAAGACTTTAGGATCACCATACATAGTTTCTACAGAAATGTGTCTTACTTATTTCATATTATTAGCTTTAATAGCTATTAATGGCTTAAGTATTATATTATCAGAATATTATCATTATTTCATATTATTAGGTACTAAGCTATTAATAACAAAAATGCATTAAGACTTTTGGGACTCCATACATAGTTTCTATAGAAATGTGTCTTACTTATTTCATATTATTAGCTTTAATAGCTATTAATGGCTTAAATGTTATATTATTATAACATTATCATTATTTCATGTTATTAGGTACTAAGCTATTAATAACAAAAATGCACTGACTTTTGGGACTCCATACATAGTTTCTGTAGAAATGTGTCTTACTTATTCCATATTATTAGCTTTAATAGCTATTAATGGCTTAAGTATTATATTATCAGAATATTATCATTATTTCATATTATTAGGTAGTAAGCTATTAATAACAAAAAATGCACTAAGACTTTTGGGACAGAACAGCTTTGATGGCTCAGAGCCCGGGGTGCAGCCCTCTATTGTCCCACCCTGGCTATAGATCTCCATCCCAGCTGTACTACTTCTTCTGTTTAGGTTAAGCTCATGGCTCCTCACCTCATCACCAGGCTCAAGCCTTGATGGACGTCGCCTCCCTCAGCCTCGTCTCTCCTCTGACTGGGTGGCTGGAAGGTAGAGTACCAGACTCTTCCCATGCCTAAACTGGCCTTTTGGATTCACTCCGCTCTGCATCTGCCTGGTTTCAACTCCAGGAATCCTTGCTTTCTTGCCTCTTTCTGGGTCTGCCTCCCTGAGATTGTAAGCTCCTTGGGGGCAGAGACTGTCTTTTTTTATTAATTGCATTTCTAGCGCTCAGCAAGTACCTGGCATCTGGCAGTCACTTAATAAATGCTTATTGGATTATTAGATTGAAGAAACCAAATTACCGTATGATGCTGATGATTTGTTTTCATTCTCAATTTTCCTTTTTTTTTTTTTTTAATGAGGCAGCTAGGAGGTGCAGTGGATAGAGCACTGGCCTTGGTATCAGGAAGATTCATCTTCATGACTTAGAATCCAGCCTCAGATACTTACTGACTGTGTAGCCCTGGGCAAGTCACTTAACCCTGTTTGCCTCAGTTCCCTGTCTGTCAAACGAGTTGGAGAAGAAAATGGCAAACCACTCCAATATCTTTGCCAAGAAAACTCCAAATGGGGTCATGAGGAGGTTAATATTAATTCAGAATTTATGGTGTTTAGCTCTGTATTAGGTATATCATAAAGAATCTATGGAGAAGACAAACTGTAAAAGCCTTAAGTATGGTTATCTGGCCTTGTTTAAAACCTGGATTTGGAGTCAGGAGAGGCCTGGTGTTGAGTCCCACCTCTAGCACCACTAATGCTGTGATTATGAGCAATCATTTAAGCTCTCTGGATCTCAAAGGCCTCCTCTTTAAATGGGAGTTATAGGATTATAGATTTAGAGCTGGGAAGTACCTCAGTGGTCATCTCGTCCCACCCCTTCCATTTTTCGATCAGATGAGATGACTCGACCAACGTCACGTAGCCATAAAAATCGATGTAGTGCTAATGTGAAGCTGTTCCAAAGTAATGAGATACTGGGCCCTGCAATCATTAAGGCACTAAACATGGCGGTTAGTTTAAGCTTTAATGGCTTGAAACTCCACTATGACTTTGGGGACACCCTGTAAAAATTTCACCTATTATGGTTATAATTCTGCTCCCATTTTATAACTACTCTCTCCCTTTCTTCTTCCCTCAGGCATCTGCTCCACATCAGAAAGGCAGAATTCTACCACAAACAGATTCTCATGAACACTTACCAGGCAAATAATGAAATGGATTAGGACAGATAGTATTTCTTTTACACCCAAAGCCTGATTTTCTTGGGACTAACAATTTTTTCCCCTGAGGTTCTAAAAGCAGTTCTTATTTCAAACAGTCAACCAACAAGCATTTCTT